GCAGAGATACGAACTAAGAAGCTACCCTCCTGGGTGGGCCATTTCAGTCCAAGTCCTCTAGGTTCTACAAGTAATAGATTTACAGCCACTGAGTGAGTCTAACACTAGGTTTTCAGAAGCTTTAATTTAGAATCCCACAGCTCACCGTTTCTGAACATGCCAGACCAATTAAGTAAAAACCAGAGTTGTCCTTGGACATTAAAAGCTTTCCAGGTGATGTAACTCCAAACTTTTCCACGCGATTCACCTAGAGTTGAGCCAAGGCATCTTTCAATTACCATATTTTTAAATCAGAACCAATACCAACCAAAATGGGGCGGGACGGGGGGGGGGACTGACCGGAGTATTCTCTCCCTTTTCAGTCTCCCGCAACTTCCCTTCTGTTCGCTTGTCTTGTTCTTAAACACCTTTTCTTATTTCTATACCTTTATGAAGTGGCACAGTATTTCAGACAGTTAAAACACCGTATTGAACAAAGTCCTCAAATATTGTTAAAAACATGTGTAGTAAATAATTTTTAATGCGTTAAATCAACCAGCCAGGGTGCAAGAGAAAGGGATTTTTAAAAAAGTAATTATTTGGATTTCTATGTCCAGCTACTTCAGGCTTGGAAGTTTAAATCGAAATTATACCAAACAGACGGGGTGGGGGCAACAGAATGGTCACACACGGGTGATTGCCTACACGAAACCTGAAGGCTGCGGTGTCTGGATCTGGTTACGTTACAACCAAGGAATAAAGGGGGAACACCGTTGAGTCCTGGCCTCAGGCCTGGCCAACCCAGCGATGTAAATTGAAGAAATGTCTTCTCTGGACCAGAGGATACTGCTGTCTAAATGAGCAGACGGGACAAGTAATCCTTAACAAGTCTCTTCCGGTCTAACGGAGTCTGGAAACAAGGACCCGAAGCAGATTTTTCCAATCCTCCACTCCACGCCCTTAGCCTGGGGACAGGCTCCACACCAAGCACCACCTTTTAACCACCTGTCAACACGTCAGCAACCTCAGCGCCCCGCCCTGGAGTTCCCCCTACAATTCCGAGCTCATTCCGCGCTAGCGGTCTGGGTCGGGACCTGGAGAACCAGCTGTTCATTCCCACAATAGTACAGCCCCGAAGATCCGGATCTCGCGTCGAAGTTCTCTCCAAGGTAAAGAAAGGAGGACGAATCGACTCCTTCGACGATCCCCGCGCCCGGTCCCGCCCCCTCGCCTGGCGCCAGGCCGCAGAGCGCCGATCGGCTGGATGAGC